ATGTTAAGTTCCTTTAACCTTTCCTTGTACTGTGTACAATACTCCAATTGAGGTCTACCAGTGTTCTGTACAATGGCATGAGCACTTCCCTCTTTCTACTGCTAATACCTCTCCCTATACAACCAAGCATTCTGCTAGCATTTCCTGCTGCTCTATTACATTGTCTGCCTACCTTTAAGTCATCAGAAATAATCACCCCTAAATCCCTTTCCTCAGATGTTGAGGTTAGAACTCCATCAAATATTCTGTACTCTGTACACTTGGGTTTTTACGCCCAAGATGCATTATCTTGCACGTCTTCACATTAAATGTCAGTTGCCACAACGGACCATTTTTCTAGTTTACCTAAATCATTTGCCATTTCGCTTCAACGCGGTTACATATCTTAGTATCATCAGCAAAAAGACATACATTACCATCAAGACCTTCTGCAATATCACTAATAAAAATATTAAAGAGAATGGGTCCAAGTACAGATCCCTGAGGTACCACACTGGTGACAAGCCCATGCTTCGAATATACTCCATTGACTACAACCCTCTGTTGCCTGTCACTTATCCACTGCCTTACCCATTCAACAATATTGGAATCTAAACTTAAAGATTGCAGTTTATTGATAAGCCTTCTATGTGCAACAGTGTCAAAATCATTACTGAAATCTAGGCAAGCAATGTCTACTGCACCACCCTGATCTATTATTTTAGTTACCGAATAAAAATAAAAATCAATAAGATTAGTTTGGCATGATCTCCCCGAAGTAAACCCATGTCATCTCTGATCTTGAAATCCATGTGATTTTAGATGTTCAACAATCCTATCCTTTAACCCCTTAAGGACACATGACGGAAATATTCCGTCATGATTCCATGTTATTCCAGAAGTTATGTCCTTAAGGGGTTAACATGGTTTCCATTACTTTCCCCACTACTGAAGTAAGGCTTACTGGCCTATAGTTGCCCGACTCCTCCCTACTACCTTTCTTGTGAATGGGCACAACATTCGCTAACCAATCTTCTTGGACTACTCCTGTTAACAATGATTGGTTAAATAAATCTGTTAATGGTTTAGCTAGTACACCACTAAGCTCTTTTAATAACTTTGGGTGTATTCTATCAGGTCCCACTGACTTATTTGTCTTTACTTTTGACAGTTGTGCTCCTGGCACAAGCGGCTATTTTGGTTTTCCAATTCACATGAGGAAGATTAAAGTCAGTCATGATTATTACTTCCCCCTTCATTGTCATTTTAGCTATTTCCTTAACTAGTAGATTATCCAACTCTATAAATCACACCTACCCATGTTACTGTGTGATTACCAAATTCTAACGTAACCCAAACGAACTCTATGTACGCCTCACTAACTTTTATTAGGCTAGATTTTATGCTATCCTTCACATACAGGGCCACCCTCCCCCCTTTCTTTTCTATAGAAAAAGTGTACCCTGGTATTGCTATGTCCCAGTCATTTTTCTCATTATACCAGATCTCAGTAACAGCTACTAAATCTACATTATCAGTTGCGATTATTGCCACAAGTTCATGGATCCTATTCCCTAAACTGCGAGCATTTCTAGACATGACTAAGCTTATAATTTTTTTAACACACTTGCTACAGGCACCTTGTGTCCTTGTTTTGGGGGGCAATTGGGTTGATGGTTTATCGCCCTTTTGCACCCTTCCCCTCCTAGTTTAAATACATCCTACCAAAACCTCTGAACTGCTCACTGAGAACATTTGTTCCCTTTTGAGAAAGATGCAAATCATCTGTTTTGTAGTTTATTTCCATTCCAAACATGAGAAATAAAGCCAAATCCTCCCTCCCGACACCATTCAACAAGCCACAAGTTAAAGTCCCTAATACGCACCCGCCTGTCGTTTTGAGTGTTATGGACAGGCAGAACTTCAGAGAATGACAGTGTGGAAGCAACCTGCCGTATATCATTGGCAAAAATACTAAAAACCTCCTTTACCTCTGAAACCTCATTGCAAGCCATTTGTCCCTAGATGGACAAGTACACCCAATTCCCCTTCCTGCTTTGCTTGCTTAACAATATTACAAATACGTCTCCTGTCTCTGTGAGCGGTAGCTCTGGGAAGACATCTCACAAGACCACCATTGTCCAGCGCCACACCTCTGATAGAATCTCCCAACAACTGTTTTCTATTAGGCCTCACCATGGTCTCCATAATACCACTACCCTCAGTGCCTGAGCCAGTCTCCACAGCACCACTACCCTCGGTTCCTGAGCCTGTCTCCACAGCACCACTACCCTCGGTTCCTGAGCCTGTCTCCACAGCACCACTACCCTCGGTTCCTGAGCCTGTCTCCACAGCACCACTACCCTCGGTTCCTGAGCCTGTCTCCACAGCACCACTACCCTCGGTTCCTGAGCCTGGTTCCTGAGCCTGTCTCCACAGCACCACTACCCTCGGTTCCTGAGCCTGTCTCCACAGCACCACTACCCTCGGTTCCTGGCCTGTCTCCACAGCACCACTACCCTCGGTTCCTGAGCCTGTCTCCACAGCACCACTACCCTCGGTTCCTGAGCCTGTCTCCACAGCACCACTACCCTCGGTTCCTGAGCCTGTCTCCACAACAGGCCTGAGCTCTAAAGCCACGAGGAATCTTGCCTGAGCTCTAAAGCCACGAGGAATCTTATGAAAATTAATGGAAAGATGAATGCATGTTATGAGAAAATATTGGCAGATAATTTGCATTCTTCTGCACAAAGGCTGCTGTTGGACTTTCCAGCATGACAATGACCCTAAGCACAAGGCCAAGTTGACGCTCCAGCGGTTACAGCAGAAAAAGGTGAAGGTCTTGAAGTGACAATCACAGTCTCCTGACCTTAATATTATCAAGCCACTCTAAGGAGATCTCAATGTGCGGTTAATGCAAGATGACCAAAGACTCTGCATGACCTGGAGGCATTTTGCAAAGACAAGTGGGCAGCTATACCAACTGCAAGAATTGGGGACCTTATAGAAAATTATTACAAAAGACTGCACACTGTCATTGAGGCTAAAGGGGGCAATACACAGTATAAAAGACTAAGGGTATGCAGACTTTTGAACAGGGGTCATTTCCTTTTTATCTTTGTTGCCATGTTTTAAGATTCTGCCATTGTGTTATAACCTACAGTTGAATATGAATCCCATAAGAAATAAAATAAATGTGTTTTGCCTGCTCACTAAGGTTTTCTTTAAAAATGTTACATATATTACCAATATAAATTTTTTATATATATATATATATATATATATATATATATATATATATATATACACACACACACACACACACACACACACACAAGGCCTAAGAAAGAGAGGGAAAACTCTTGAAAGCTTGCCATAATATAACTAATATTATGTTAGTCCAATAAAAAAGGTATCATTGCATACTGTAATACTCTGGTATTTTGGCATCTTATATACACATACATACAGTCAGTAATGTAACTACTGGGGGGGACGGGTCAGCTGCCCTGGGTGCAAAAATCAGGGGCGCCATGTGGTGCAGGCAAAGTGGTATAGCAACCTCCCACATGATTAAGATGTGAAAAACCGTGGGGGTGGGAGAATATGAGAACAATGCACTTCCTACCAGCTTACCAACAAGCCGCACAGGAGAGGGGAGGACCAGAGAGGAGGGAGAGCTTGGACCCTACTCCCACCAGACCTGCCGGAAGCCACTGGACCCCAGGGATGCCATCCGGCTAGACCATTAAATATGAAAGCAAGGGGATGGCTAATAATGTGTAAATTGTGATCTTTGTGTGTATATTTCATCTGTGTGTGTTTGTGTGCTCTGGACAAATGCAATAGTATTTATTTATGTTGAATTAGCCAAACAGACAGAGACAGGATGAATGTGGACTGGGGGTGAATGCAAAACAATTTTCTGCCCCGGGTGACCATAACTGTAACCACGGCATACTGTCAATTATTACACTTGCCAGTTCTCTGTATGCAGAGAATCAGTTTGTCATTACAGTTTACCTGGTTAATAGCATACTTTGCACTTTTGTTTGCAAAAGTCATGAGTGTGCGCAGAGCTTCTCATGCACGGCAAGTGCTATGGCTTGTGATACTGAGGTGGGCGGATTGGTGGGTAGGTAAAAGGGAGGGGGATGCTGTAGAAACTTTTATAGCAATGAAGTGTGCCCAACAATGTAAGCGGATCAAATTCATAGTTTATAAATGTTTATTGCATACTTTTGATTTTTTTGGGCGTGTTTTTTTTTTTTTTTTTAAAGTGTTTAAAGCATTTCCCTTTAAATTGGTTCACCTACAAAATCAAGATAACCTATGCATAGGGTTTTCCACAATCTGGTAGAAATCTGGTGGTTTGCTAAACACTGAATTTGTTTTGTTTTTAGTTAAAAATTATTCCAACAGAAAGTCTGACATATGTTGGATTGCAAAATCAGACAAATACTTTAAACGACCATGACTTCTTTAATGTTTTACATCGTCATTGTGCCTGGAGTCTGTTTGTGCAGCATGTCAGTTAAAAGCTTTGCTGCCTGAGGAGTCTGGAACGAGAATTCCAGGCTGCTGCTAATGTTAAATTTGTGCATAAAAGCCGTCTGTTGCCAGCATGCCTAACACACATACTGATGGCTGATGTCCAATGTAGGTATGGCTACCCCTTCTTGCTACCCTAAATCCTCACTCTGCCATGCCTATGTGACATCTTTTCTCCTGCAGTGAGGAGGAGTTTTGTCACTTGAGGATGGGGCTGCAAAGAGAACATGGCCTCAGTGCAGAATCCAAGGTAAGTTCCTCTTTTACCCTTGATGACCATGGGTAAAAACCGTGCTTTTGGTTAGAGTAACCCTTTAAATTGACACAATTTGACTGCTAGCGGCACAAGCAACCAGTGGGCAAAAAGTATACAATAAATAGATAAATAAGAAAAAAAACAGCAGTGCGGGCTATCTAGCTATTAAAAAAAACATAAAAGCCTAAAAGTATTTTGACCTTTATGTAACTATCAGGAGGACGAATCCCTCCCTTACTATGTTAACTTTTCTATTTTTAATTTGCAATATGAGTTTTTCTGGTGAACAATGATCTCGTTTGAAGCTTTTCCTTATACTGAGTTGTTGATTGTAGGTTTTAAAATAGTGACAGGTCAGCTTTAAGGTGCACCTAGCAGATTACAACAATAAAACAGAAATGTATAAAAGTTTATTTGAAAGGGACACTTTCTGCGGCTGTCCAATCAAGATTTCCCAATGCATACGTCTTGCAAGGCAAGGACTCTTGGGCAATTGTCTGTCTCTTGTGTTTAGCTCTACTAAGCTAAACAAAGAGAAAGTAACAGAACCAGTTGTCTGACTGACAGCCTGGGGTGTAATTTCTATTGAAATCTGCACTTTTTGCAAAACGAAAAACAGTGAATTGGAGGAGATCACATGTGATGTTAATTTGGATGCTGAAATCATCAGTGGTGAAGCTGGAGGCTGCATCAAAGTAGCATATGAATAGAACCACTGATAATGCATTTTTAACTTGCCCTTTCAGCAATGTGATCTAATAAATAACACATTTTCAGTTCTTAAATCCTATGTGTTTGTTCCTTGTTTGTAGTAAATCTATCACTGGTTAAAACTATTTAGAGCATTTAAATTAAACTGACACTATAGTCACCAGAACAACTATAGCTTAATGTAGTTGTTCTGGTGAGTATAATCATTGCCTTTGGGTATTTCAATAGCTTTTATTTAATTTGTTCATTGCAACAGCTGAAAGTCTGTAAAGTCTGATAATAAACCTGATTTTCAATGTGGGTTGAATCAGTTTGATTACAACTGTATGTAAGCATGTATATACAATAAGCATTATCTATGGCAGAATTGCTGTTCTACTTCTATATTGACCTAAATTGTGGGACCTGGCGGACCTCTTGCCTTTGTCACCTGCTTCCAGAGTGTAGCCATTTCCTAGTTTATCAGGTAGCATAAGACTATAGAATACAATAGTGTCCATGTAACTTAGATTTCTCTACAGTTTATCAAAATAAGACCCCCAAAGTGCCTGAGGTCAGTTTTAGCTCTATAAATACCCTGTGAGCAATGACAGCAAACTTCATTACACAAGAGGCACAATAAGGTAGTCTAATTACACTTTAAAGTGAAAGAAATGTCAGTAGAGAAGATGAGAAGTGTGAATGGAGGAATGTAAGAGCCTGCTCTCTTGTGGACTGTGTGCAATGGCCCTTTATACTAGATAACAAAAGAAATTATTTGTGGAAAAAGGATATTTATTATTTATATGCTTTAGAGAATTGTGAAGCAGTCTGTATGGTTTATTTTGTATATGTATATAAATAGATATATATACCATGATCTACTTATTTCTATGGTTGGATCCTGTATTCAATTTCCCTTTGCACGAATAGTGATGTCATCTGTGCAATCATTTTCTTAAATGCAAGTGTGAAGAAAGTCACTGTGCAGTATGAGGACTCCTGGATGGCAGCTACAGGAATTTTCAGCCCTCTAAAACGTATCACTTCTCTGAAAAGCACACCTTTCTCTATAATCATTTCACTGGAAAGCACACCTTCTCCACAATCGATTTTGTGGAAAGCACACCTTTCAATAAAGCTTTTAAAATCATCAATGCTCTGTGTTCTTTTAAATTTATATTTAAAGCTTTAGGAAAATTACATTACAAAATAAGTTGAGTCCAGGTATAATCAAGGTACACATTGCAAATAAGGAGAAATAGAAACAGTGTTTAATTTCACCTCTCTGGGCGCTTCCTCTATACCGACTGCCAACAGCAAAGCACAACGCTTAGAACAATGACAAGTAGCTAAGATGGAGACACTCCGCTGTAGGATAATTTCTACATTATATATTTTTTTCAGACCTCACAAAACATTTGTTAACTATAAGGTATAATTTAAAATGATATTACAAATCACGGGAAGGGCACTTTCCTCTTTTAATGGTGTAATTCCTACTAATCAAGGTCAGCTTTGGACATGTATGATCTGCACTTTCCTGATATAATGAGTACTAACATTTACATTAATTTACCTAGCACTAGGACCAACACTAACCTCAATGCTAAAAATAAATAAATAATAAAAAATATCATAAAATCATATATGATACATTAACATTGAATTGAGTATTGTGTAAAAAAAAAACAAAAAAAAACACGTCGGTTCATGTTTATGTGTCCGAAACGCCTCATTATTTTCAAGCAAAATATGGTTCACCATTATGTTGTACTCTCTGCATATGCACACGTCATATTATATGTGTGTATATATATATATATATATATATATATATATATATATATATATATATATATACATACATATACACACACACACACACACACACACACGTACGTTTAAAATGCACTTTTACACTAGAAGCAAGCCATGTGAAACACCAATCAATGTTTAATTTTCAATGTTTATTCGTTAAATCCAAAAGAAAAATGAACACAAGAAAACATTGAGCTATCCCTCAACTACATTTTCTCTTTTGCTTAAAATGTTTAAACTGAAAAATGCAGAATTAAAGTCAATACACATCACCTGTGAGAGAAAGAAAGTAAAAAATTTACTCCAAATAATGTAAACACTCCTCATTTTTATATACATTTTCAGAAAGAAATTGTCAAGATGATCATGATGTAAAAAAAGATGAAGGTCCGTGACAGAAATGCAGATATAGCAAATGTAAACCTTCTAAATGCTCAAACGATTTAACTTTCCCGTCCAATTTTCTATAGAAATATGTTAACACTGTGCCCATAAGAAATAGACCAATGTAAACAACAACAACAACAAAAAAGCAACTAAAATTCAAATGTAAGAATTCCCCTCAAGCACACCAAAACAAAAATGACATGTTGAATTCATATGTAGAGCAATAAAACGTAAAAACAAATACACAAAACATTTATGAAAAGTAACAAAAAATCCCGGTGGGAGCATGTGCATCATTTTTATTGCAAGAATTAATTTTCTCAAAATGGGCAATTGAAGGCTTCAGATCAGATTAAGATAAGATAAAGATCAGATAAACGAATAGTAAAATAACCAATATATATGAAAAAAAACAAAAAAACAATCAACACTTCAATGCCGCCCAATATTGTGCAATAAAAATGGGTTGTTTGAGAGGTAGACAAATTATTGTCCATTGTTATTTTGTTAGGAACAGAAAGTGAATAATAGAAATTGCAAAGTGCCTACTTTTTTTAGAGCGAAACTGCAAATGTATTGTTAATTTAGCTTTGTAGAGCAGTGTTTTTCACATCAGTATCACAGAATCTAAGGATCACTCTCAGTTTTACACAAATGGCAATGCTCATTGGTGACCCCTGTGGACGGGTTAAAAACCCCACAAGTATAAGGTTGTAAAAGCTGCATTAGACAGCATTATGTGTGATTTAAGTTTGGCCAAGTCAATTTATTATGTAGACATTGCATGGAAGCACACAACCTGCAATATGCAACATACAGCATGAATGTTACTCAACAGTGCTAGAATGTGGAGTACCACCTAACTGCAGAATGAAGCATCTGATGAGAATACTGAATATTATATATTAGAGCAGGACAGCACATTCATGACATTGCAGATGCATAACTTATAGTGCTACACTGAATGGGTTGATAATTGACCCAGAGCAGTTCCATCTGCCTGAAAAGCCTCATTCAAGTTTCAGTAACTATTTTTTGCTTTTCTACATTATATTTATTATAAATAACAGATAAAGTAATGCTTACAGATGGTCCATTTTCCTATAATGGTTTTAATTCTGAACACATAAATGACATTCTCAATGAAGATGGTTGGCCTACATTGCTTTTCTTAATACACTTCAGTTCAACAAATAAGATGATAATCTTTATTATGCATGCTTGCCACTGTAATGACAGCCAGAAGACATCATTTTAAGTGAATGATGACAACAGAACTGCTCACGTGAAAGACACCAAAATGTCAGACAGCCTACCGACTGTTGTTGCCATGAGATCCAACAGTCAACATCAGTCTGATAAGCTATCCGACAGGATGGTACAGCCATGAAGATGTCACGACGATAGATGGACGGCAGATGTATATACAAAATGCAGGAAGATATGATTCAGCAGACAATGGACATGACCTGTTTGAAGCATGCACAATCCCATAAAATAATGTCAGCCTTTTAAACACAAAGCTGTATGGTAGAGAAGCCATGGCAAAACGTGGCTCTGTAGATGTTCTCCAACTACATTTGCCATGAGGCTGAGTCTGTTCTAAGACATCTCAAGAAATGCAGTGCCAATAATTGCCACCACTGGCAGAAGTTTACATATAGTAAATATTAAAGCACAGTAGAAACAAACAGTAAGGCAGACCGTTTACATAAAAGCAATATCATAATTAAATGAAAGATAACCAGTAAGGATTGAGACTTTCTATTAACCTTTTGCAAATCAGCAAAATGACTGTAATAAATCTGAAGTATTTACATTCTTTATTAAATTAACAGTAATTGGGAATCTAGTTAACAAGACAATGCAAAATTTTGAAGTGCTACATGTAAACACTTGGACCATAAAACCTCACTGTTGATTTTTTTTGATTTGTTTTATCAGGAGGGCATATCTGGTCTATTAAGATGATGCCGAAAAAGCTGGATTCTAAAGCAGCAATTGTTAAAAACATGTACCTGACATGTTTGCTATACCACTGTGCTTCATTAATACTACCATACACAAGTCATGTGAAGAAATGTTCATAACAGGAGTTTCCTTTAAGGCATTATCATTTCATGCGTCTAAAGCCTTTTTTCAACAATGCAATTAACAATGCACTTGAGGGTTATTTGTCTTTGATATTGCCTGCCACCTTTTCCACTGAAATTCAATTGCAAAATGGCCCCACATGCGTCATCAGTTGCTGACTCATTCCACTGGAATGTTTCTACTCAGAACTGGAGGATACAAATGCAAACTTTACAAAACACACTAATTGAGGACATTTCTTAGGCCCTGCAGAACTTCTCAAATAAGCAGTAACAGCAACTGTTTTGAAGGTTAAGGGTATCAATAACAAAATAAATAAAAAAAATGTAAAAACACATTTAGAAAAAAAACCTGAATATTGCATATAATGTTTTTAGAAATAACTAGATGAGCTTAGTTGCTCTGAACATTTATAATTTTTTAATGATTTATTTATTGCTTACCATGTTAAACCTTTTTAAAATAAAGCATTAGTAAAAATGGCAGTGTTGGGTCTTTGCTGCACTGCAAAAGCCAACATAATTTTAAAGAGCACGTGTCTTCTGTAATCCGATTTCTGTAATGCATGTAGCCTCCTTGAAAATATTGAAAACAAATGGAATCAAAATGAATAAAAGCTAAAAAATAAATAAAAATAAAAAAGGAGGTTCCCATTGCAGTGGGTAATAGCAACTAAAGTAAGGACCTTTCAATTTACCATGTTCTACCCAGATTAGTATTAATTTTAAGAATCAAAGGATTTTTTTGGAATAAACAAAATAAGTATTAAGGGTTAAAGTGACTCAGGATTGGCACAGGGGAAATTGGAACTATGGAATTTTCAAGAAAGGCAGTGTCATATTAAGTCAGTACTGAGTGCTGCGCCAGAGCTCTACATGCTTTGTCCTTCCTGCTTCTGCACGGCAAGAATTATTGAGAAATCGCAGACAATAGGTTTTTCTACAGGGAGGATTAACACGCACGCAATAAACTCCGGTCAAACAGCTATGAGAGGGGGCGGACAAAAGAGTCAATGCAACAGAAATCTAAAACTAAAAACATATCACAAAGGAAAAGTGAAAAAAATACTTAAGAGGGAAAAAAATTACACAAGAAATTCTGGAATTATCAAAGGTGGCTTTATAACATTCAGTTTTAGCTTTCCATTCTAGACGTACAGAATTGAAAGAAAAAAAAAAAAAAATGATGTCAGTTTAATAGAACTGGACGGTTACCAAGTGTGTACACTGTATTCAGTGAGCAGCTTGTATTTAGGGAGGAGGGAGTGGGTAGTTCTGCAGTATACTGATTGCAATTCCCATCCCTCCAATGTATATCCTTCCTAGAGAAAATGTGACTCATAAGGGCCAGTATGCTCAGATCATTGCCAAGTCTGCCATATTTAGATTGGGATCACTGTGTCCTCTGCTGGCTCCCAATGTGCAGAAAAGTTAAACAGCATGAATTAGCCTTTAGTAAGGTAATGGAAGGTAAATTGAGGGCAATAACAATCCCCAGATGAGGTTAGCAGATGTAATTACAGAGAGACTCCACAAATGTTCTTTGGGTTCATTCGCCAAAGAAATACTCCAGGCATCTGGAATTGTACAGGACAATCTGTACTTATTTACAAAGGTGTTTGAACATAACTTCACATAATCACAATTATAAGAAGGAAAAAAAGTTGTATTCAGTTGTAGCAAGGAACAAATGCAAATCTGACCAAGGAAAGTTAACTTCTGTGGGCCTGAAAGAACTAGCAATGCACTGCACAGCAATGTACTGCTTCTAACTCCATAACTTTGCTCACAAACAGTGGGTTAAATAAAGGGCAACACACATTGGTTTTCCATTCCAACAAGACTGGCAATTACAATTACTTAACTCCTCAGAGCAGTCCTCATAGCACTGTCCTGTACCACGGTGACTTGCATTCTAAAAGATTAGAATTGCCACAGGAACAATACTCTAGCAAGCAGAATCCCTTCCATTATTGAAGGAGTTACAAGAAACAAAATCAAGTCACCAAGAAAAAATAAAGATGGAAATAGTTAATAGAGTGTATACATTACCTTACTTTGCCACACATACATCTCTTATTTGTCACAGAAAATAATTAGAACTTTTTTATACTTTGAAAATATTAGAAAAAAAATAATTTATGTGATTTAGGGGAAAGGGGTTGTTTTAAAAATGTCCCAGATTACTTTGCCAATTGTTTTAACAGTTAATAAGGTCAATAAAGTTTGCTTAGTAGCATTTTGTCCTTTTTTTTTTGCCATTCACCCTCCC